TTCTCCTCACCGCTCCTATTTGTAGCACAAGAGGACAACACATTCAGTCTTTAGGGCCGAGACGAACAAAAGAAAGTGAGAAAATGTCAAAAAATGCTGTTATCTGAGTATAAACCACGTATTTAAAGTAAATTCTCTTTTTTTGTCGTTGAAGTTGTTGTTGTTGGTTTTACAATAATAAGGAAGTTTATTATCTAATGAGCTTTTTGTATCAAAGTGTTTGTTGTTTTAATGGAGCATATAATTATTAAACTGAATAATAACCCGTGTCATATTACCTGTTCCAGCATACTGAGGGGGCAACACTTAAGAAGCAGTAAATGATCATCTGACTAAACAAGACCCACCAGCAATGAGTTCATTCACTCCCATCGTCTGTGTTAAAGCCAGACTGAAGTGCTGCTGTCTTGGTATTCAAATGCATCACTGGAGTTTCATTTGTTGGAGAGGTCAGCCTATGACAGGGATCAGTGTATGGCAGACGGAGGGCAGATTGATTTGACCTCTGTTTTTCTGTCTCTCTCCAACACTGGATGTTTATCCCATTTAGTGTGACAGACTCAGGAATGTGTATATATGTGTGTGTGTGTGTGTGTGTGGTGTGTGTATGTCTGTTCTTTATGCCTAGCCTTACAAAGCACTGGCCCTGACCAAGGCAGACTGAGGTTGATAGATTGTACTCAACTATCTGTCACAGGCCAGGGAAGGGAGAAAAGGACAGGTCAGAGGAGACAGAGGGCTGCATTTTGATAGTGTCCTATTGAGAGAAACGGTTCGACAAAAACAAGTGGGATAGCCTGTCACTGGGCGCTGACATGAAGCGATGAGCTGTCAGTCTAGTTTTGTTTTTCCTCATTAAGAAGTCCTTTTCCTAAATGCGGCATTTGTAGCCAGAAAACTACTTTATGATCCTCTCTGGCTGAGTGCCCCATGATAACATGTTCAGCGATACAAAACACAATCTACCATGTGTCAAATGTTGTTGTTGTCAAGGCGCCTCTTTTGACGGCAGTGGGAAAGGTTGGTGCATAAATTGAAAGGTGTATTACAACAGAAGGGGGCTGAGGCCATACGGTTAATAGGAAAGCTTCTTAAATGCTCCAAGAGAAACAAAGTAGGGGAGTGAATGAAGAACCCCATTAACCTTATCTGTGATTAGAGACCCCTAATCACAAGCAAATGAATGCATCCTAATCACCAAGGCCATCAAGAAAAAAACAATTAATCAGCGAATCATTATCAAGCACGTACATGATTTTGGATGGTACTGGATTTCACATGGGTTTTTTTTTTTTTTGTGCTTCTGTGCTTACATGTGTGTGTGTGTGCACACGCGCTTGCATGTGTGTGTGGTTTGGTGTGTTGCAATCAGCCACTCCACATGTGCAGATTTAAGTGTGCATACATATGGAGTTTCTTTTGTCTGTTTTATGCAGCAATTTTAAAAAAAATAGAATTAAGGGCAAAACTATTGACACCGCACTCCAAAAAAAAAGATGAAGTTTTCAACCCCAAAATTTGGTTTGCTAATCTGTGGCTTGCACATGTCTCTTGGACTTCCACCAAAAGTGAAAGAGCAGGTGAAACTTGTAATCTAATCACTACTTGTAAAAAGACGAATCTCGGTTTTAATTTATGAATTTATGAATTTATTTATTTCTATGCTTTAATTTTAAAAATCTGTTCTCTCTGAATGTATAAAGCATAACAGGTAAAACTCTCATTAACACATCCTCTTTAACATTGACTCACTGAATCTTGTATAAACACACACACACACTTGAAAAATGTGATGATGCTCTTACTCATTTAATGCTGAGTACAATCTCCTCATTGTGTTATTTGGATTAATGGTAACAACGTGCTTGAATCTTGAATAGAACTGATGTGAGCTAATGACTTATGAGTCAATCTACAGCAACACCGTCTTTGCAGCCTCTCCAAGGAGGAGAAACGGATCTCTTGTATCTCTTTCACATTCTCACACGATAGCCTAAATATTTATTATGTCTATCTTGCATGTGCACACTGGTATTGTCGTGTCCATTTGCATTGGTTTGTTTGGTTGTTTCCACTTCTGCAGCCTGTCTGTGTGTCTGTGCTCTTCGTCAGCAAAGTGTAATGAATATCTCTGAAGAGACTGTGTGCTGATAGCAGGGGACAGGTACCATCAGATTTGGCATCATGGGCAGATTAATGAGAGTGCTGTATTTAGATACAGTCCCGTGTCCTTGTCTGACCTACTGCCAGAGAGTCGTTCTACTCAGGAAAAAATAGAAGAATTTATTTATTTATTTAACTTATAAATATATTATATTTTTTACAGTTCTATCTGCAATTACCTCAGGGAAAAACTGTTTGTTTGTATTTTTCAGTACATTTCCAAAGAGACTGAAGTTTGGCAGGGCAGCCTTTAAAAAAATACATCTTTAGGCAAAACTAGCCGCCATCATATATCCCCTACAATGAGCTGATTTTCCATCTCCTCTCTTGAGCTGTGACCCAGAAAGTACAACTGTGCCTGGGACTCGCAGTGGGTCCTGACCCTGTATTTGGAGAACACTGGTCCAAAGCACATCTGTATTCAGCACCAGCGCTGTACTCATATTGTCAATGGCCAGCACACAGTCCCCTGAAGATGGATGAAGCTAAAGTCTGGCCTAATAACCAGTCTATACCCTCAGGGTGGGTGTAGCACTGCACTCCTCTGTCACCTGAGTCCCTGCGCTGTCTCTATATTGACTTAGGCATTTCATTTTCAGGCATTCATATTCATCACCGGACAAACCTTCCCAGCTTCTATTGTGTCTGGGAAACATCTCTCTTTCCTGCCTTTCTTGTTCTGGACCATTATCTTTTCTGTCTGCTTGTCACCTGCTATACCTGCTACTACAAATCTAAATAATGAGTAAGTTTGAGCAAACACTGCTGTCCCCACTTATTTATTTTTTCATCCTAAAAAGTCTTTCTTGTGTATTCCTGGTTCCTTTTGTTCTTTTTAATGTCGTTGTCACTGTACAGAACTAACTAAACACCACTTTTGTTGTTGGTGTTGTTGTTTTTTTCTTTCTGGGAACCGAATGGGAATAAACACATTGGGCTTAGAGTGGAAGACGCTGGCTGAATGTTGACAGATCAAAAACTCAATACATTTAGGGTCAACTCGCAGAGTGTAGTGCACAAAAAAGATTTAATCGCAGACAACTCCGAGAATACCCCTGTTGGTGCAGGTACCTTTTGATTTGATATGATTCTGGTGTTGGAACAGAGAAATGAAAATAAAACAGGGATGGTGCAATTGTAGGCTTAACCATGCTGAAAAAAAATCAGGCCACCGAGAGAATGAGAGGCTCTCTACAATGCGTTTGGGCTCACTATTGGTATTGGGCCGGGGCTCTCAAGCTGAAGTAGGCAAGTACTTGTTCGGCTTTGCGTGGATCATTATCAGAGTGCTGTGTGGGAGAGCGGGTGCACGCGCATCCGTGTTATTCTATGTGCTTGTTTGGCCGTGAGTGTAATGTAAGGGAGGATGTGCTACAGCAGCCGCTCTATTGTTCCTCCCTCCCCTACTCTTCCTTCCTTCCTCATCCCCAGGGTGTGCACGGCAAACAGGGACAGATTTCTCCTGTACTTGGAGATGACCTGTGGAGTCATAGGTGATGATGACTGGCCGGGTGAAAAATAAGGCCAGGTGGCTACGAAAGACTGAAAAACCAGCCAGTACCAGAGCCCGTGCTGCGCTGTGCCATGCCACATCGTAGTGCCACTCCTCACCACACCATTAAAAATGACAAATGCCCTCATCAGCTGCTTCCCCAGGTTAGCAACCGCTGCCTGATGCTCCTGAAGCCTTGCGTCTGCCCCAGTTCATCAGCTGGAGTTTGCCACAATTGGGACAACCATTTATTAAATGTGAGTCACCTTTCATTTTTGTCATTGCAAAGGTTGGGAGCAGAATAAAAAAAGAGATAGAAAGCAGTCAAAACAGCTCAAGTGTTGTTGGATAAATGCCGCACATATTTAAGTGTATTCCGTTATGCTATAACCTTAAGACATATACAGTAATTTTAGAAGCTGTGGACAATAATAAAACCCCCAAGATAAAAGTCATCCTTTATGTCCAGTAAAACGAAAGCAGGTGAAAAGTATCTGGGACAGTGTACTGTGAAGGGACAGCACTGAAGTATTAGGCCAGCCAGTGGCCTGGGGTAAATTCAGACCTATTCAGGCTGCAGATTAACAACTCCATCCCAATTCTTCAGCTCCAGGGACACGGGTAGGGGGACACATCTATCCCAAGACAGGTGTATGGTTCTGGGCTACAGGGCAGCAACTGTCCCTCCCTCCGCTGAAGCGGACCCTGGCCCTCTGTGTCCCTGCAGGGAAAAGCCCATTGTGTGCACCATCTGTTGCCTCACAGACGCACACAAAAGGGGTGACGGGGACAACGGGAGGGAGCTGATGTGCAACGCCTGTTTTATATCATTAGGAGGTACAGCTGAATTTGTCAAAGCTATTAAAGAGCATTTTCAGTGCAAATAGGGCTTGAACCTGTGGGCACAAGTGAAGCTGCCAAGCTATAAAATCAGCTTTATTATTCATTCGCGTATCTGGGAAGTCCACTCAAAGTGATTCAAAATGAAATCAGCTGTGATTTTTAAGAGACTGATGAAATGATACTTTGAACCAAAGGTGGATGGGCTGCAGAGCAAGTGGTTCTCACAGTCAGAGTCAAGCTTTACGGGGTAAGCTCGACTCTAGGTTTGCTTGACTTGTAGGTGCAGCTCTGAGCCGACTGGTGGCGTTATTTCCCTTCACTGTAGCGGATACCGCTTCAAATAGGTCAAGGAAAAGTTTTGTGTTTTGACAATGTGCGGTGGGAGGAGCGCCGGGTTACCGATTGGTTAGTGAGTTTCAGCTACCAGTCGGTGATTGGCCCCGGCCCTCTAATGGGGCTGTGAGCAGGCAATGTCGGGTCTCCCCCACCTACTCCACCTACACCCCCTCCCTGCCTCGCACCCCCTTGCTCGCTACACTTCGCTCCTTCCTCGCACTGATTGTCACACATTGTTTACTACGGCTTGAAATGTGACACACAACAGAGGCTATCTGCTGGAGTACCGCTCTGACAACTGGGATTCTTTTTGACGCGCCCCGTGCGTCTTGGTTATTTGGGGGACAGGCTGTGGAGACTACCCTTCTGCCATGACAGTGGATTTGTTTGCGCTCTTATGCGTGCTGGTCATCACATCGTCTGCGATGGAAGGTAAATAAGAAATTGGGACTAATACTTGCCGTATATGTGGACATGACTCTCTCCGAGGGGCGCTTTGTAATGTGGGGGATGCATGCAAGGTTCTGTGTGAGGCAGCGCTGCGTCCGTGGCATGCAGAGCGATGCCATGCACGTGGGTCGCTGTGGGCATCCAGTTATTTCAGAGCAGCATCCTCCGGCTCCGCTCGTGTAACTCGTACTTGTGAAGAACGAGACGTTGCATGATTAAAATGCGTTCACAGCAGCGTGTGATAGTTTATCAGTGACTGTTTATCTTTATTCTATACATAAGTGCAAGCCAGCAGAAGCCTCCGTTATTATTTATGTTATTTTCTTATATTTCCTTTTCCCCCCTAAGTAGTGTTTTCTCAGGGGGATGCAAGCGCTCGCATTTATTTTCCTTTTTTTTTTAAATTAAACTAAATTACTACAACGAAAATCCACCGTGCATTGTTCTGTGGCACTTTGAATTGGCGAGGCAAACTCTATTAGACTGTGTTGATGGGAAGTTTCCCAAGATGCACTTTATGCTGGATTGCATTACGTCTTTTTACAACTGGAAAGCAACTACAAAAAATAGCCTCTCCCTTTCTGTCGACTATGCCCTGATTTTTTTCTTCTCTTCGTGCATCTCCTTTCCTCCTTCTCTATCTGTGTCCGCATCTGCTCCTGTTTCCTTTCTGTTCCCTCTCACAGTCATCTGGACAAGCGTTGGTGTCAGTAGAGTGGTAGCCAATATCACCTCAGTTAAACATGTTTTTCATTTCCGCTGTGGGACCCCAGGGACCGGACACTAGGCTGCTGCCTGCGACATTATCTGCTGCACGGATAGCCCAGAGGCATGGTGGATATATAGTGTCTTCTCTCGTGTTATTGTACAGTAGCAGCCTCTTTCTAATATAACATACACTAAAGCACACCGGCTTCCCCTTGGCTGTCTGTATCCACTCCCACAAACAAGTAAATTAAAAGCACAGTTAAAATGTGTTTTCTCACACACAGGTTTTCTCTTTAATCGTTTACAACTCTCCTCCTGGGCTGTCCCCAGCTCTGGCGGTACTCTATAATTTGGCGGTGGCTTTCTTGTTTGTGCTCATCAGATTTCGACACTGATATGGATACCAAGCCCAGGCCCAAATTGCTACCTCTGCAAGAATGGATATTCTGAGGTTCAAATGTTTACCCTGTGTGAAATGACAGCAAGAAATGTAATTTTGGAGAGATGAGTGGAGGATGAGAGGGAGGAAAAAAATTTCCCTGCTTGGAAAGAGGTGTGGGATTTCTGCTTTGAAAAAAAAAAACGGGATGGGACTGAAGCAGATGGGCAGGGAGATGGCCCCTGGGTTACCTCAGTAACAAGGATGAAAGCGATTTCCTTGTTTTTTGATGCTAATTGAAAGGAGGTTGCCCCATGGGAAGGTTAAAATCTTTGCTGATCTGAACTCCAATCTGTTGCTCTTTCATTTTTTTTGTCTGTGTGTGCGAGAGAGAGAAAGCGAGAGGGATTGAGCGGGGGCCATTGATCACATTATCCCTGCCTATCCTGTCACCCTTAATCTGATTAGTCCAAATCTGCTGATAATCACAAAGTGTCAGGGATCTGTTTGTATGCGGCGGGTGTCGGGGTATCCGTGTAACTTTAGAGCCACGACCATATAGAAGGCTGATTGTGATGAATTGAATGGTTTATTTGACCTTACGCATATGGTCGTAGTAAACAACAATTACATCATCGATTCAGACCCTCAAGACCACGTACTGATGAACTGTGGGATGAAAATTATAAGGAAGAAGTACTCCAAGTGTGATTGCATGGGCGGTAGGCTGTGGCTCAGGAGGACGAGTGGCTTGCGTCATCATATCAGGTGGTTGACGGACGGTGGTTCAATTCCTGTAGTGTACCCGATGAATCTGCCGCAGTGTGAATGTGTGAGCGTTAGTTTAAAGCGGGTGAATGAGGGTTGTTGTAAAAAAAGTGCTTTGAGTATTCAAATTGAATACAAAAGTACTATATAAGTACCAGTCTATTTGTCTCGAAGGTGGATTTAAACTCCAGCTGCAGCATAAATACTACACCACACATCAAGGCAAAATATCAACTTACAGAAACACATTCACTGGCGAGCTATTGAAAAGGTGCAGAGAGGCGGTCAGAACCAGAGCAGAAGGTTATAACAGTTAAGTGTGAAGACAGGGCTCTGTATGGTAGCAGTGAAAAAAAGACTTCTCCTTATTATCTTCACTTTTCTTCACAGCTCTCCTCTTTTCCTCGTTTGTCTACCCTACTCTGTTGTTCCTAGTTTTCTTCCCTCATCTCCCGGTTCCGCTCTCATCTCTCTCATCGCTTCTTCAGCTCACTGTCTCTCTGGTATGCATGCACTACTTGCCAACAGCAGCAGTAATACTGCTTTGCTTAGAAAGCCACTGCTTATTTATGTTTGCCCTTAAACCAATTAGGCCCAGATAAGCCCGCTCATTTACCGGCCCAGAATGTGGTGGTGGAGAAAGCTGGAGTGGAGCGAAGGGAGGATGAAACAGCAGCGGAAGATAGATAGAGACCGAATGAGATAAAACGATGAGCGAGACAGAAAGAGAGAGGTCAGCGAGTTTCAGAAAAGATACGGTATGCATGTTTTACAAATGAGATGACTGTAAACGAACCGGGCTAAGAAAGTAAACGAGCACCCTGCTATATCAGGGATCTGACATACAGTAGATGTCTGAGCCATGGCGCAGCATTGTAAAACAGCAGTTTTATTCAGTATGAGTATGATAAGAGAATGTTAGTAATGTGCTGTAACCAGTCCCCCAGGATGCTGTGCTAAGTAGCTGCGCTGCACTATGGTGATGCATCATCCTCAAACGATGGAAGAGAATGTATTGTAGACTCCTGAATAAATAGCAATTATGATCGCTTAATCGATAGTTGTAGGTTATGCAGGTCAGCTAAGTTAAGCAGTGGTGGTGTGGTTGATTAGAGGTCAGAGGAGAGAGTATAGAAGCTTACGTTCGTACGCTTGTCTCAGTGTAAGTAACCGCTCTGTTGAAGTGTCCTTGAGCAACACACTGACTCACCTCCAGGGGTACTACACTGTGGATGACCTGTTGCTTCTCCCCATGTTGTGCAGATAATTCAGCAAGCTTTCCTCTGTCGTCTCCCACCCTTTAAACCTTGCATTGAAAACCGAGCTCATACTTTGTGACAGCAGAGTTAAAAATGTAAGTTGTGCGCGCTCACCAGCTGTGCAGAGGAGCCAGCCTGCAAAAAGAATCCTGTTGAGTCTCTAATGGATTTTAATGCAAGATTGCTCTTTTCCTCTGCTCTCTCATTTCATATTATTAGACAAAAATAACAAAGGAATTAAAGCTGAACCGAGGCTCGTGGGTTGATGTGGTAAGTGTAAAAAGACATAAAGCATTATTTGTGTGAGGGGCTGACGTGTGTATTTTAGCCGCAGGCGCTACTGCTGACCTGGGACCACCTGAAGTAGAATTCAATTTCTCCCTTGTTTTTTACAGCCATGTGTGTATTGTGCGTTTGGGTCCCCATGTTGTGAGTATAGCTCTAAAACACATTATAGCTGGCAGGGGCAGCAGACATGGCCTCATCCCATAATAGAGGCTTTATTTTGCCCACAGTGAAAAGACGACTTGTTGTTAAGGTTCGCTTACATAGCTTACTCAGCTTACTGAGCTATGACGACCCCCAGTGCAAACCCCCTACGTGCAGCTTGTGTACCTGCAGTCCTGCAAAAGTGCTTCTTTTCCTGTGAAACTATAACACTTCCAGCGCACGCAGTGCGAGGAACATTCTGTGAAGGGTTTCCCACATTTTCAAAATGTGTTTCACTTCCTCCTCCTCATTCTCTGCGTCTCTGCTTCCTTTCTCACTGTCTTCCCTCAAAGCCCACGTACACGTGACATCCACAGAGAGCACCCCTCAGAGTTCACCTTACCCCAGAGACATCTGAGCCATGGGATGGCCAGATGGTGGATGCAGGTTGGGAGCTTATGCATGTGCACATTTTTTGTGCACAGCCCCCCTCCCCAGTGTGAGAATGAGTTCTGTCAAGGTAGAGCATAGAAAGAGAGAAATAAAGCACTATGCGCTGTATTGCAAGCGTCTCCTCTGCATCCCGGTCCATTTTAATTACTGAAATGGGACTTGCATCGTGGATATCTCATGTTCTTTACGACGCTGTTTTCCAGTGTCGTCCACGCATTTCCGAGCCCAGAGATTTACCGCGGCGATGCTATCAGCAGTGTTAGGTTCCTACCCGTCTTGCTTCGTGCTTGGCCCTTATCTGAGCAGGTGGCCGACTGTGGGACGAGAGCTACGGCCTTATCTGTGCGATCTCGGGGATAAGCAGACCCACTGCATCAGCAACATACGAAACGCATTAGAGCACAGGAGTGAAAGCGGTGACGCTCGTGACACAGTTCAACCTCAAACTGTGTGAGTCATCTGTTTGCTGGTGAAGCCAGATCGCTCAAATGGTGAGCACACAACAGGGAGAGAAGCACGCAGCGCGCTCAGTGATTAGACTTGATGTGCACAAGAGCACAAACTTTGAGAGAACCCTCCAAGCCACACCTAGTATAGGAAAATGGCAATGCAGGTTATTGATTGGCTGCAGTGACCCAGCTTCTCCACCACTCATGGATGGTAGTGTGAAAAATGTGCTTTTTCTAATTCTTTTTTTCAGTCTCAGAGGCTTTTTTTCCTCTCCATTATCACCTGTCCTACAGATTGGGTGACAGTTGTTCAGTCAGCAGGAAAGGGGAGCCTCTTCAATATCTGTTGAGCTGAGAGGTGAGAAGAAAAAGCATTGATCACCGAGTCTTATTTCCCAGTGTTCACGCAGCCTTGCTCCTGAGGCTGTTATACTTAAAGCACCATTTCAACCACCTCTCCTCCATCCCATGGTCCCTTAAGCTTGTCCATTTCAGCTTCTCCTCACCAACTCAGAGTCAACCCAGGACCAAAATGCT